TCTCTCTCTCTCTCTCTCTCTCTCTCTCTCTGTGTGTGTATGTATGTATTTTTACATATATTTGTAGTGAATAATGCTTGCTGGTTTTGAGGGTTTCTTTTGCTTTTGCTTTGAAAGTTTTCATAGTACCTTTCAAAACTGAACCGAATGGAATCCGAATCCGAAGATTTTGAGATATTATCTATTTCTTCTGTTCTAAAAAAATGTTTCTTTCTTATATGATTGCTTGACGGTTTTCGGCTCTGACGATACATGTTCTTATATATGATTATTATGATGGGCAGAACATACGACAGCAACTCCTGTGACGACCATTTTCTGCCCAGATATTAATCTTGTTTCAACAACCCGGGTTTTTCAAAACAGGATAGCTTTTTGCTCTCCGAAATTGCCTGAATTGCTTCGATAAGGGCTCAAAATGTTTCATCATTTTATTTGATAACTACAGAAATATTGGTCCGAGGTGTTTTTGAGGCTTTCCTTCTATTCTTATCAGAAATTGACTTTGATTCGATTCCCCCACAGTAAGAACTCAAAACAGTTTGGAAAAAAGGCCAAGCCAAAAGGGTGTTGTACATGTATAACTAATGGAGTACATGATATATTTCTCGTTACTGGATGCTTTATGCTTTATGTACTGATTGGCGTTTCAATAATACTCATTTTTATTTCAGCTCGTCCTAGTATCGTTACAGAAAAAGCTCCTTCACCTCACCATTTCCCCTAATTGTTCACCTATCTCTTCTTAATCTGTGGTTTTCTGTTCAGCCACATACATGTGCTGACGTCGAAGGCTTGAACCCCAGACCTGTGGTAACCCTCTCTAACGGCCTGGAAGTCGTCTGTGACACGGTGACCGCGAATGGAGGCTGGATCGTGATACAGGTAACAATCAAGATTGTTTGACTGTTACAGTACGACATGCTGTACTCTTACCTGTCAATCTCAGCTCGTACAATCAAATTTACAGCAGTGACGTCGATGGCTTAGCTGTAGGGCTGCCGTCTAGCAACCGTAAGGTCATGGGTTCTATTCCTTGACTGATCCCAACGTTGTCTTACTGGGAAATACACTTTACAACAAAAAATGTCCTCACTTTCCTCGGGTGGGAATTTTCCGAGTGTGCCCTGGGCGGTGAAAAATTTTGTCGGCATGTTATTGTTTGAGCGCCTGTTTAGTAGTGGGCTGGACTTGATGCAACAAGCAAAATAGACAAAAAGAAAAAGAGGCAGACCACCGCTTCTCTCATTAGAAACATCAGAGAATCCCGCAGCTTAGAAATGTGTGAGGTCAACAGACCAGCGAAGACCGTAAGAGATGGAGGAAGATGACTGTCAGTGCCATTGAGCGGAGTGGCCAACAGCTCAGCCGGCGATGCTAATAAGTAGACAAGAGAACATAAACATTTCCTGTGGTGGCGACAGACGCCTGCAAGTGCCCCCCCCCCCTCCTCAGTCTGCAAAGATTCTGCATCCCACACTGTCCCGGGTGACCTGGTGGCCACTGTCAAAGCAGCCAGCCTCTTATTATTGTTATCTAAATTGTGGAGAGGGCGCACCGTTAGCTAAACTGATATCATTATCTTCTTCTTCTTCTATCCCGTGGTTGGGGCAACCGGTTGGGGCACCACTGCATCTGACAACCAGCTCTCGCCACTTCTCTTTGTCCTCTGCTTTCCTCAGATTATCACCCATCGTCTTTCCTGTCCACTCTGTAATGTTGTCCTCCCATCTCCTTCTTTGCCTTCCTCTCTTTCTCTTTCCTTGTACACTGATATCATACTGGACTACAAAGCAGATGGTCCTGGTTCGAATCCCCAACATGGTGTTCTGAACTTGGGTTGCTTTAGGGAGTGTATTTGACTCGGTCCTTTCGGAAATAGACGTTGAACTCGGAGGTTCCGCCTCTTAAATAACCTTACAGTGTTAAAATAGGCTTTAAACGTATACAGTGCTCAATTGTATGGATGATGACACTTGACACTAACAACCATGTCCTATTGATTTATATTTTTTTCTTTGCAATGAATTGACAGAGACGAGCTTCGGCTGACGTGGACTTTTACCAGGGCTGGGCAAGCTACAAGTACGGCTTTGGCGACCCCCATGGCAATTTCTGGCTGGGTCTGGAGAAAGTCCACCAGTTAACAACCCAGGCAAGTATTTGCTTCTTCAATGTCGATAGAGAGGGTCGCTATACATGCACGATGTACCCTGCTGTTGTTGGTGGTGGTTGTAGTGGTGGTTGTTATTGTTCCAGCTGTTGTTGTTGTTGTTGTTGTTGATACTCTTATCTTTTTAAAGTATGTTAATAATGAAAATAGTAGTAGGTCTACAT